TTCTGTGAATACTATAAGTGAAGCTATTGAGATGATAAGAGACAATATCAAACTGTCAGAGATATTAAATATTGTTGACTCTGTGAATAACTGATATCACTGTTTGCTAAAATAACGAGCAAAAAATAAATCAAAAATTCTGAAGATATTGATTAATAATGATCTGAAGAATATCGTTAATTCAATCTACCTGCTCAATGAGATAAAGTTAGTCAAAGATAATGAATCTGAGATACCTACTAATGATATAGATTCTGTCCTGAGTATGTTTATAAATTGCTCAAATAATCTGGTAGAAGTGAAGAAAAACTCAGATTAAAATCACTGACTAGAGACAATGAGAAAAAAAAGTTAAAATATTTGAAAATAAGAAGATATATATTATCATTGAAAAGATATCTAAGATAGATATACTAACAGGCAAATGAGTATTTGATTATAAGTTGAATAATATAGATGAAATAATTTATTTTAAAGCTCACTGAGTAATTAGAGGATTTCTGCAGTAGTAGAGCATTCATTACTTCAAGTTCTATATTGCAGTCATCTCAAAGCCTACAAGTCACTTTCTATTTACTATATCAATTGCAAAAGATTAGAAATCAAGGTCAATTGACTACATATCAGCATTTTTGAATGATATACTACCACAGGATAAAATAATTTATATGTAGTTACTTACAAGCATTAAACATAGAACAGAGAGACAGGTGAGTCTTCTTAGACAGAGCTTGTATGACATGAAGCAAGCTGCAAGGACCTGGTATTTTGTGATGACAGAGTACCTCACATTACTGAGGTTCAGAATTTCAAAATATAATAAAAAATTTCTATTTTATTCTATATATAAGATTTATCTAACACTGTATGTTAATGATTGCAGAGTTATAAGCCCCAAAGAGGTAGAATTAGATTGAGTATTAAGTGAGATATAAAAGAAATTTGACACAAAAAATATTGAAGAAGACAAGTCTTATCTCAGAATGAAGATCAAATATAGATCAAATGATGACTTAGTGATCTCATAGATCTACTACATTGAAAAGATCCTTGAAGATTTTAGAATAGATATGATTAACCCTACTGACATATCTATGATAACAGATATATGATTTGAATTCATCTCAGAGGAGAATGATAAATTGAAAGATGAGTTTACAGCTACAAGATATCATTAGAGGCTTGAATCACTTCAATATCTTATATTAAGCACAAGGCTAAATTTGACATTTACTGTAAATTATCTGTCAAGGTTCAACTTATGCCTGAATAAAGACTGCTGAACAGTCCTGAAGCACATTCTTCACTATGTAAAGAAGATGAAAGCCCTGGGAATAGTTTACAAAAATGAGAAAAATAATAGAAACCTATAGTCAGTTGCTTATTGTAATTCAGATTGAGCAGGTGCAGACTCCTAATATAAATCAACATTTGGCTACATTATCATGATTAATAGATTCCCAATATCATAGTGCTCATAATGGCAAACATTAACCACAAAATCAACAATAGAAGCAGAATATATCACTGCTAATGAAACTGTATGTGAGCTTATTTGATTGAATGATATGTTGCAAGATACAGATCTGATAAAAGAGAAGTCAAAGATCTGCACAACATTGCAGGTGGATAATAAAGATGCCATTGATCTGGCAAAGAAGAAGTCCTTCACAAAGAGATCCCATTATATAGAGATTCATTACCATATACTTCATGACCTGGTTGAGAAGGAAGAAATGGAGCTCTCACACATAGGTTCTACAGTGAATAAAGCAGATGGATTTACAAAGCCTCTGCCAAAGCCAGCTTACAATGAATTTGTGGAGAAAAAGGATTGACAGAGGTCTGGTCTCATTGATGAGGATGATTGATTTTACATGGTTTTGCAGCCCCTAAGGAGGTGTAATGAGAATACAAGTTAGGAGAATAATTGTGTTCTTTCTTTGCAAAGTTACAATACAGAGGCGTAATAGAGCTTTTCCTAATAGGGAAACTAGCATCTGATTCCTGTATTTAATTTTTATTGCGGATTTGAGGGCATTCAGTAGGGGATAGGGCAGAGCTCGGGCTCACCGTGGCATGGGGGGGCGTTGGAGGATTCCCCGGCTACCTGAGGTCACGTGCACCTATATATTTATTAGTTGTAGCTAGCTCGCTTAGAGTCACACAACGTAACAAGGTTGATAACGGTCCTCTAAGAGTTACATTACGTTTACTAATATATGACTAAGCAATTCATATCTGTCTCTCACAGAGCCTCATTTTCGACCAAATTCACAACGTCACAGCCAATCCACAGTGTCATTTTCGTCAACATTTATTCTGGCAAATAATTGGCCACGGCACAGTTGCTCCCAACCACAATGGCCTCCTTTGTCTTCTGCTGGGGTTGCTTTTCAAAGCTCCGTCCAGCTCCCGGCCTGCTGCACTCACCTTTCGTTCCCCGAATTGCTTTTTTCCACACCACGGCCCCGTTCTTTGCATTGCCTGTCAAAAAGAAGTCGAACCGCATGGATACAGGTCCCAGATTTCGCGAGTCTCGGTCGGCTCGTATTAAAAAGAAGGTGAAGCGTGAGAAGCCTCGTCCTCCTCTTCCTGGAGAAAGAAGGGCCTTGAGGGAACGCGTTGTTCTCAGTAATACCAATGCCCTTGAGGTCCCAGATATGCCGGATATGTCTGTGGAAAATATGGGGAATGCTGAAATGCGCGGCCACATCGTTGGTTTGCCAATGTCGTTGGTAGATAGGTTGAGAGGAGCTCGTGCTTTCAAAACCACCCAGGGCTGGAACTTGTTTAGGAGGCCAGGGACTCTGGTTAGGAGTGAAACAGTTGAGTTGGGTAAATTGATTAATGATATTGGAGAGAGCGAGGGCGAGATGAAAGGGAAAACTGTGAAGAGAATTATCACGGGTGAGAAGGGAGCTGGTAAAAGCATTCACTTAACACAAGCTATGACAATGGCCATCTTGAAAGACTGGGTTGTCGTCACCATTCCTGAAGGTAAGGTGGTGTATTCTTATTTCATGGCTTATTGATTTATAATGTCACTTACCTTTGCGTGCTTTTTCTTTTTTAACAGCTCAGGACCTCACAATTGGACATTCTGCATACTCCCCGACCAATACAGAGCCAGTGCAATATGTGCAAAAGGATGTAGTTGCTAAATTGCTTCAGCGCATTGTTGCAGCCAATGCACCAGTACTGTCCAAACTTCATATATCACAGAAACACCCTCATTTGAAGGTCCCAATTCGTCCTGAGATGTCTTTGCAGCATTTAGCCAACATAGGCATTGATGATACAGCGTATGCCTGGTCGATATTTCAGGCTCTCTGGTCCGAGTTCACAGCAACGAAAGCCACAACCGATGCTGAGACACTGAAGCCTTTCACTTCACGCCCACCAATGTTGGTCACAGTTGATGGTCTTTCACATTGGATGATGAACTCTAAATACCGAAACGCCGAATATGAGGTTATCCATGCTCATGATCTTGCATTGGTCAACCATTTCCTTTCATTATTATCGTCAAAACGACCCTCTTCAGCTCTGCCCAACGGCGGGCTCCTCCTCTACTCCACATCTACCTCCAATACACCAACCATTTACACGTTCGAAGTTTTACTGAAACAACTCGCAGCCCGGACTGCTGGTTTTTCCACTGACTCACCCAATTTTCCAACTGCTGACCCATACCGTCGCCCTGATCCACGAGTCCTTGCGCTGTTCAACGATGCTAAGGATCTGACTACTCAAAGGCTAGTCGGCTTGAGCAAAAAAGATTCAAAGGGCTTACTGGAGTACTTTGCGCTTAGCGGTATTTTAAGAGAAAAAGTCACAGAAGAGTTTGTTAGTGAGAAGTGGACTTTGTCTGGCAAGGGTATCGTCGGGGAGCTGGAGAAGTTGGGAAGGAGGGTGATAGTGCCACCTCCAATTCCCATGCCGGCGAAAAACTAAGGTTTCCCCATCTCCATTAAATATTTGATTCTAGTGCTTCCATTTTATCGTCATTCAATGTTTGCACTGTATTCTACCTTTGTTTTTCCTTTACCACTATCTCTCTCTATACCTCGTTTATTGTATTGGTTTTTACCATTTCAAACACATCTCTGAATCCGCTTGTATCTGGATGTTACCCAGGCTGTATCAATTTGCATGTGTACCCTCATCTACTGCGTCTCGATATACTTTTGATAGTTATATCGAACAATTTCCTATATGTTCTTACATCTCTATGGATTAAAATAATAGAATTGTTGTCTTCCCCTACGTCTTCTTATCCATCAAGGAAATTTCGCCATTGCTTCCCTGACTCCTTTTGATCAGTGGATATAAGTTTGTCCACTTCACTCTTAGTGAGAAATTCTATTATTTGCAAAGGGACCGACGAATCCATGACTGCTGGAGAGGAACTGAGCCATTTCACAACTTCCAAGGTTATATGCGACACTGAATCTACCGGGATGTGAAAGGTTGGTTCACACCCAAGCCAAGGGCGATCAACAATGGCTATTGTTTTTTAACATGTCGCTTGGATAAGATTTCTATTGTCTCCTGGAAATACCATCTTTCTGTTGGAAAATCGTGGCCGACATTCCAAAGGTCCAGAGACTCTCACCTGTTTTCTCCTAGACATCTTCTCTCCCTGGTGTACCTATGCAAGTACGTTTGCCAGAAACCTCTCCAATTGCCTCAGCAGAGGCCTCATCATCCCAAAGAGGAATCCCGCGTCCAACTTCTTTAACTGCCCCATAATACCAGAAAGATACGCATCATTGCTTTCCCCAAGCAACCCACCCCTCGTGACCAAAGGACCCGGTTAGTCTTCTGCCCTTCGACGATGCCTCAACTTCAACGACGATCTCCACCGCCTCCAGCATCCTCAAGTTCAAACTCCAGGAATGCCGCATGGGAGTTAGATTATCTCAAATACTATCAGGAAGCTTATGCAGTTCTGGTTGAGAACAAAGCCGTTGAGGGAAACGGATTTTCTTGACGAAATGCTTGCCGTAGACCAGAAATGTCGTCCCTTTTTGGAAGAATTCCGCATCCTCACCCAGCAGCAGAATGCGGTTGAGCAGGACCTTGGAGGAGACGAGCTCGCCGCAAGGATTCATCACGTTTTAGATTTGGACGAAAATGCTAATTTAACAAACAATGAGGATGACCAGCAGCATGTAATTGCGTTGCTGGAGAGGGTGTATGCGGCAGTGATGTATTCAAAGTCTACGTTTGAGGAGATAATGGGTCCACATGCAGAACTCAGGTAGTGAAATTTCGGCGAGATGTTTTGGCATTCCACGCTGCATCGAGATTAGAAGGCGGAGAGAGCCAGATGTACTTCCATCTCACGGGATTGTGGGGGTCGGGAAGTGTGAGAGTGACTCATCTTGTGCCAAATGTGTGAAAGGGAATGAGGTGGCATAACTTTTTGGGGATAATGAGGTGGCGCTGACGGATCGAAGAAATGGTGAGATGAGAATTATTCATATATAGTGACCATAGCTAAGTACACATTTGTCTAGGTATGACGCTACGTACAAAAATCGGGGAGGCGATGGATGCTAGGACAATCGCCATTGTACCAATTGCGTCACAGGAAGAGGATGACGTTAGTGGAGAGGAGAGTGGCGAGGGTGAGGAGAAAGCAGAGGAGCAATTGAATGCCTTGGATGAGTTGGATGAGTTAGCCGACGAAGATTATAAGGATGTGGAAGAAGTAGATGTAAAGATGAAGCTCAAGGCTAAGAGACATCCCATGAACTGGAAGTGGCTTCTGATCAAGGAGATATACCGGGATCATCTTTTCAGCCAGGATCTGACGGGTCACATATCGCGTTGGAGCGTAAGTTCAGCTTCCATTTTGCAATCACTATTAGCCTGACTGATAAAGCAAGCACAGGAACGGGGCGGGAAACAGCTCCATTTCCTCAGCCTCTCAAATAGGCCAGTTAGCCGTTTCATGTTCTTCCGGTTCCTAATAACATATCTCCAGGCAAATATTCAGGGGAGCAAAGAGTGGACAGACAAGACTGAGGCAAACACTACCCTTGACCTTTGGGGCTTACCAAGCTCGGGGGAATATCTCGAGAAGAACACTTTATGATCCATTGTACGGAATATCACTGGCTCTAAGCTACCTGCTTCTTTCTACGACGGGTTGATATTTGAGGCGGATCAGCCGGCGAGGGACCAGGATTACGTGCCTTCGTGAGGTGCTGGCTGGTGGTGTGGAGATGAAAGAGATTGGAGATCATGAACAGGTAGTGGTGGAGGGCAGAAGTCTACTTACTGAGGAGGCAGTTCCTGCAACCAGATTAGAAGGGGTTGTTGTTGTTCGTATAATGCACTTTTTTACATACAGACTGAATGAAAGGCTAGATTGTGTCAGGCAGGTCTGGAAGATGGCTATTTATAATTGGGGTGTTGAATGGTAAAATCTGTTGGAGCCTAGCCTTCCTATTATGGACTAGCGCACCACACAGTAGTATATAGCATCACTGAGATAGCTACCAAATACAACCACTTTAGATGTCCCACAGGTTATGGCCTCAATAGCTTGTTTTTATTTTTGAAGAGTCTTTCACACACTACTTCCACACCCTATTTCTTCTTCTTTTATCTGAGGTATAAAATGTTTCATGTGAACTGTATCGCTGAATTGCAGCAAGAATCTGATAAAAAGTGATTGTTTTGAAAGCTTTTATTATAAGAAATATATTAAATCAAGAAGAGATAAACAGATGCTTTTAAGAATATAAGCTGCAAAATCATTGAATATCTCTGCAAGCAACAACATGAATAGAGATGAATATGATATATCTATCTTTGAGTCTAGAGAAGAAACTGATCAAAGAGATAAAATAAATATAAATATAAATAATATATCAAGACTTCAATCTAAATACAGATGAAATAGATATTTTAATTGCTAGCTAGATAAGCTATCTAGATCAAATACTAAAATGATTTCTAATAGATGAGTTTAAAAAAGACTCTGTTTATATAGCTATTTTTTTTAATATTATGTTTTATATTTATATATTTTTTATATGTAGAATAATTATGAGATTGATTGCTATATTAATATTTAAACAGTTATAATTACTGATTATCTCAGTCTGTAATTCTACACTATTGAGAAGATTGAATAAAGTTTATCTATTTTACATCATCATATTATTTCTTTCTTAAAGTCTAGACATGTTCTTATACTGATAGATTATCATCTGTCTCATCTACTAAATAGTTATTCTTTTTTTAAATCTTCAGTTATATACTTAATTGCTTCAGATATTTTACTTTCATTGAGTTTATAGTATAAAATTCTCAAATTAGATATGATAATTTTTTTAGATTTAAAGCTGAATATTATGTTGAATCATCATCAAATTCTAATTATTTTACTTAGTATTGAAGCTTTTTACAGGAGACATAGCTTATTAGAATACTTTTTATTCCTCACTCATTTTTATTCTATACTTTAATTGATTTTAATACTTTATTTAATTATTCTAATAAAAGATTATTTATAGCTCTCTGTAGTTTATCAAAGAAGAATATTAAGTAAATTTTTATATTTTTTAATAAACTTAGTCTATAATTATTGTCAATATTTTTAATAATTTTAAAAAAATCTATATTTTATTCTATGAGTTTTTTACTGAGATGTTGAATTTATAATTTTTAAATGATACAAATATTTTATTTTTTATCTCAAAATTTGACATCTAATAATATTTGTTAATTTGTAATTTTATAATTTTTTATATTTTTTTCATATTGTTAGCTGTCAACTTTCAAATTTTCTTTATTTGAATTACATGCTATCAGATATCTTCTCATTTAAGCTTTTTTCCTCTAGATAGTATTTTTAGCAATGTCTTTCAGTTAAAGAATATCTAAAATTCATATCTATAAGCAGTTATAAAGAATGTTATTTCAGTTGATTTATTCTTCAAAGCTTTAGTTGTATGATTTATTATTAATAATTATTCATTTCAATTATTTTGATAGTAGTTTATATATAATCAAAGCTTGATCATCAGATATTGATTAATAATCTTAGTTTAATCATCTGTTTGCATATGATAAGCTGATAAAAACTTCAGCTTAACTTCTAGTTATTTAATGAACTTATTTTAGAAGTTTAAAATAAATTGTAATTCATAATCTGATATAATTAAATTTAATACTTTATAATACTTATAATAGTATTTTAAGATTAATTTTGCTAGTTCTTTAATATATATCTTTTATATAATCAGAATAGATATTGACTTTTTATTTAGTTGATAGATAGTTATTAATATCATATTAAGATTTTTTTTTATCATTGAGTTATTTATAAAGTTTATTGATATGTGCTATCAGACTCTGCTATAAATTAATAACAGCTTCAGTAATTTCATAGTTTTATCACAGAAGATTCTCATTTATTAACATATCAAATATTTATATATATATTGATTGATATTTTTAATTTAATCAATTCAATAGTGTTTTATTCTCACTGATAAATACAACTTTTCTTTCTCTGAATATGCTATTGATATCTACTTATAAATCTCCTTTAGAAAATATACTTAGAGAGTAGAATCTTTTTTAATTTATATCATTAAACATTTTTTAAAATATAAAAGTTTATTTATTAGCTCTCAAAACTATTTTTTTTATTATACTTTTTTATATCATGATTTAATAATTTTATTTCTCTGTTACCAATTTTGATCTTATTAAAAATATATATACTGATGTTTAGAATCTTAACCTCAATAAATTTCTTGATAATTTATAAGTTCAATCTCTATGACTTGAGAAATAGTTTTATTTGACTACTATTATTATTTATTTAAATCTTTGATTAACTAAGTACATCTGCTGATATATTTTAACACTCAAACTGATAGTGAAATAGAAAGTAAAATTAAGAAAGAAATTATACTCAGTATATTTATTAAATATTTAAATTTTTAATTATTTTAAAGTATTTAAAATCTTGATAATTAATCAACATCTTAAATCTATTTATTTTCTGAAGATCTTTTAACTTAACATATCATTTTATCAATACTTTTATAATTATCAATATTTTTTATCATGAATTTTATAGTTTTTCTCTGCTTCACTCCTGGAAGCTAAGTAAAATATAATTAAATATCATTACTTATTCTCATATAGCTGAGATAAAACATTAGTTATAGTATTATCTGAAGTATTTATCTTCACACAAGTCTTTTGATTTGAGTTATAATTACAGAGTACTAAAGTATTAGATATAACTCTCTTTACTTAATCAAAGATATACTGACAGATCTTATTTTATTCAAAAGACTGATTCTTCTAAAAGAGCTTAAACAGTTACTTTATAATTCAACTATATTTCTTAATAAAATACTGATAAAAGTTATAGAATTTTAAAAATAATTAAACTTTTTTGACTGTATTAAATACTGCTCATTATAATATTATTATAATCTTTTCAGAGTTCATTTTTATCTATTAATCAGTAATAATAAATTTTAAATACTTTGTCTATTGAATATAAAACTTATTTTTTAAAATACTTATCTATATTTTAGTCTCTTATAATCTAGA